GGCCTACTCTACTAGCCCTATTGCACTTTGCAAATATTGTGTTATTTACAAATCAAAGGCTTCGGGCAATGTGCATTGGGCAAGGCTACCAAGGCCTTCTCCTCAGCAGCATGTCACTTTGTGTTTCTGTGTAACAATCTGGTCAACCTCACAGTATTTTCAACCTTCTTATGATGCTTTTGCTTACATAAGACACTACCCACAAAACTCATCACACATCAACAAGCCGATTCCAACTCAGAGTGATTCTCCATTGGGTTTTGAAATCATTCAGGTGGGAGACTACCCATCTTTCTCCCATGGAGCATTTGGTAGATTCAAACAAACCACTGACCTTTTGGTTAGAAGCCCAGAATGTGAAGTACTACAACTCCAGAGCTCCTTTAATAAACAAGACTACAGCGTAGACAGCTTGTATGTGCATTGGGAAGCCAAAAATCTCATGACTTGGATTTACTGTGGCAGTCTCTTTACTGCAGTGGTCTAGATCTACACCTGTATGTAGTATCTCTGAGGTAAATAAGGTGTAAGAATGGTTAACACACTGAGTTGTTAACCAGAAGCAGTAATTTGAGTTCATCCTGGGATGCTCTAGAAGAAGAAAGGGGCGCCAAACTACTTATTAAATAAACAAAAGCCACACTAAAACCGCCAGCCATTGAAAACTCTACAGAGCACTGCTCTACTCTGATGCACATGGATTCTCCATTAATTGGAATTGACCAGAGAGCAACATTTTTTGTTGTTTTGTTTAATTGAAGTTACTTCCCTAATATTTACCTCTGTTCACTCATTTAATAATAAAAAAATAACTAAAAATTAATGAGGAGACTGTGTGCAGTGAGCACTGAACTACATCATATGCAAGATTATTCTCAAAACCTTCACAAGTATATGTAAGCCCTTGTTTAACAGATGAGTCCACTGAGGCTTAGATGTTAATGAACTTGGCCCTGTAGTCATAGCTAGTGAGCAGAAAAGCTAAGGTCTGAACCACAGCTCGTGCCCTTAATTCCATGCTACAGAGGGCCACAAGAATGGCCAACTCTCAGGGTTTCTGTGTGAACAGAATGAAGCCCACAGCCTGGTGCTTCAAGAACACACAGTAGCAGTCCACAAAGGATAACAACCGCTGGGGGATTTTCTTGTCTGGTCTTGCTCTGAAAGCCTACTCCAAGTCTATCTTATGCCATTATAGGGGACAGGGAACCAAGGCCTCTTCCAGCTCATCCTGTAACCAAGGCCACACAGCATGACTGGTTCAAAGAAACCTGGGGAGGTCAGGGAGCATTTTAATTAAAATATCAACATGTCATGAGGAGAAAGGCAAGCCACAGCTAAGCTCTAAAAGGCAAATTTTTTCTTAGAAATGCTGGAATCTCATGAGGAGGAAGGAACTGGCTTTGGCGAGCAGTGGGGAACAAACTGCTGACCAGGAGATTTGCTTGGAGAAGGAAGAAGAGAAGAGAAGCAGCACTCCCGAAGAAGCTACTATAGCACTTTGTTTTGCCCGTCCTGGGATTAGAGCAGAAAATCAAAACCACTTCTTCTAGAAGACTCTGTCTCCCATCTACTTTCCATCTTCCACAGAACTCCAGTGGCCAAGTGTCAAGAAGCTGTGCTGCAATTCCAAAGGCACACAGTTCAAGGCCACCAGCTGCTCCACGGGAGAAGGACTAGCAATCTCTCCCATGTGATTAAGTGTCTCTGAAACCCGCCGGAGGGTCAGCTATCAGTCGATTCTGACTCTATGGTACACAACAACATCAACTGTTACAAAGTGTTCCTCAACATTATTTGAATATTGCTATTATTTGCATTAATGCAAATCTCATGACTGTTGGAGGGCACTGGTGACTTAGTCCACAGGGAGTTATGCTGATAACCTCTAAGATGCACTTCTCTCTGGAGGTTCAAATCCATAGAAGAAAACATGGGCAATCTCTTCCCATGTGATTTACAGCTTCAGAAACCCACTGGAGGGTAACCTATTAACCAATTCTGGCTTAATGACAATGAGTTCGAATTTTTAGGTTTGCATTTGTTTTGGGGGTTTTTTTAACAATCTCATGAGTAAATATAAACATCATTCTTATTCTAGAGATGTGGAAATGAGGCTTAGAGAAAATCAGTGACTTGCCTAATTCCTATAGCTGGTAGGTGGGAAGCCTCCTGAACAGAGTTTCTTTTCCCCAAACCGTGCCAGGAGCAGCCTGCTGGACAACCCAGGAATAAACTCACGTAGACAGCGTGAAGAGCATGTGATACCCCTGCCCCTGCATTATCTCCATCTCGCCACATGCCTGTGTTATAATAAGCTCCATAAAAGCATTCAATTAACCGGTCCTCCACATGTCAAAAACACCTGCTCAGACCTTAGTACAACAAGATACTTGTGCAACTATTTACCTTCCATTATGGCTGCCTTTTCCAAGAAAAGTCATTCTTCCTAGAGAACTCAGCCCCACAAGTGTCAGTTTGGAGCAAATAGTAAAATTAGGTCTTTTATTTTTCAGTTTGGGGATACAAAGATCCTTAGTCCACCTTTAAGAAACAGCTGCCAAGATGGACTGTTTTTCTTTTTAAAGACTGGAAAGAATTCTACTAGCCTCCTGCCCTCCCCTCCTCCCAAATTTCAAGCTGTTGATTGTGTAGCTGGTTTATGATGTTATTAAAACACAAAGAGGGGTCTCAAAGTTTACAACTAAGTCCCCGGAGTACAGAAGTCAAAAGGAAAACTTCATGAAATGTGGTTCATGTAACATCAGCTGCTTGCATTTGATCCAGAGTAGGCAAGATAAGCTAACCGCTGATCCCCTTGAACAGTTCATTAGCCAATCTGACCTGGAATTAAGTCTGCAAGACAGACGAAGGGCCCTGACACTAGCCAGGCACAAGACAGACGAAGGGCCCTGACACTAGCCAGGCACAGTACTTCTAAATATCAATTTCACAAGTTATAGCTGTAGAATATGAGTGTATCTTTTCAATCCTTTGAATGTCCGGCTTATCCATCTATATAATAGAGATAATAGCAATGCATGTTTAGTGTTAATACTAAGCGGCTGTTTTCTGAATTGCTAATCCACATTGAAGATAAAGGTCCAGGTTATGCATAGTAGAAAAGTGATTCAAGGACTTATGAGGGTGGATGCTCGATCCTGGCAGATGTGGCACATATCCCTTTCACCCATATGGCTGAGTTCAAGGCCAAAGAACAAACAGAAAATGCTGGAGGTGAGAAGAAAGCTGAGAAAAATGTGTGTCTCAAAAATGACAAGACTACAACAGACAAATCTATGTTAGGGCAGTCACCTTCTAAGCAAAGCTAAGAAGGGCTGTACCCCAATTCCCATTGTTCAAAACAATCACATACTCTGTCAAAATCAGAAGTGCATTCCCCCAATACACTCAATGTCAAGGATTGAACTGGGTACCCCAAAATATGTGTCAATGTGGCAGGGCCATGATTCACAGTGCTTTGGCATTTAAGTAATGATATAATCATCTCCATGACATGATTTGATATACTCAGTTTAGTTTTTTGTGGGTTTGGGTGTTTTTTTTTTTTTGGTGTTTTTGTTTTTTTTAATTTTTGGGGTAGAGTGTGCTGGGGGTTATAGCATCCTTACTCAGGTTACAAGTAAACTGATGCAAAAAGATTTTTCTTAGAGTGTGGCCTGCATCACATTTTATTTTACAAGAGATAAAAAGAGAGAAGTGAGCTGAGAAAGAATGACTTCAGTACCACCAAGAAAGAAGACTGAAGTCCAACAATGATATGTGTCCTTTGAGCCCAGAGCCCTTGTACTAAGACCCTCCCAGATCAAGGGAAGACTGATGGCAAGACATGGAGCTCTCAAGGGGATGCTGGGTCCACAGATTTTAAAAGGAGACAGGCAATTGACAGGAAAAAAAAATTTGTTCCCCTAGAGCTGATGCTTTGAATTTGGACTTAATATCCTAAACTATGAGAGAATAAATTTGTGAAGCCTTATGCCTGTGGTATTTTTGTTACAGCAGCACTAGATAACTAACCAAGAAAACTTCAATGATAACTTTAGTTTTTTAGGAGATGACTAGATAACTAACCAAGAAAACTTCAATGATAACTTTAGTTTTTTAGGAGATGACTAGATAACTAACCAAGAAAACTTCAATGATAACTTTAGTTTTTAAGAGATGACCTGGATGCTAGTCTGAATTTTGTACCTCATATGAATAGCCTGCAATGTATTTCAACAGCCATAACCTCTTTTACTCCTCACTGTATAGCTGGGAAGAAAGAGGCTTTACATCATCCTTTTTTTTCAAAGAGGTAAAACCTAGATCTTTGGAGGCTAACTTTTAATTCCTTGCCATCTTGACCTTATAGTCACTACACAAGAAAACTAATAATATGTTAGGGAGCGTCAATGGATTATCACTGTTTTAGCAGCACAGTGACAGTGTAGAGGGAACACTGCAAGTGACTACAGTTGTTGGCCAAGTATTACCCTTTTTAATCTGTGGTGCTCAGAGATTAGACTTACTAACCAGGTGGCCTTGGGAAAATTATTTTTATTTGTGGACCTCAGTTTCTTAGTTTATAGGGGGGAAAAAAGACAATTACAGTATCCATACTTTATGAGATTGTGTGTGTGTGAGGATAATGCATGAAAAAGATTTTAGAAGGGAGCTTGGCATGTATTCATTTCACAGTTAATGTTGGTGCTCAGCAAGAGCAACCCTCAAAACCTTTCACTTTTATATTAATCAAATAAAAAGTCCTGGTGGTATGATGCATAATGTACAGGGGCAGCAGGTGCTCCGAGGGAAACCGAAGGACAGTCTCACAAAGATTTACAGCCTTAGAAGTCTGATTGAGGGTTGCTATGAGTAAAAGGCAACTTAACCAGAGTGGGGAAACCAAATGAGATTTTTGATACCAATCTGGAGAAGTCAGTGCTGACACAGCTATAAAGAAACAGGATGGAGGATGGCACAGCCCGGGCACTTACCGCCAAGATGGCAATGACGATCCCGACAGCACAGAGCACAGCATCGTTTATCGTCTCGCCAGTTTTCAGCGGGTACTTGATGCTCTCATCACTGCAGTAGAACCCTCGGTGGTAAGGCTTGATGGTGCTTGACTCGATGATTAGGAAGGGCAGGCCAGCTGGGGAAGACAGAGCCATTCCATGGAAAAGAAGAAACAACGAAGACGGAAAGGTCAGTGCAAGGAGGCCAAGGATCAACGAGAATCACAACACTAACAGCAATACTGATTCTTCTTGTTTGTGATAATCTACAGTTTACAGAGAACTTTCACTACCCTGATACCCTTGATTCCTTCCCTCACCCTTAAAACAAGAGTGGAGGCTCGTAGTACAAAAGTCAGGCACATGGCTGCTAAACTAAAGGTCAGTGGTTCAAGCCGATCAGCAGCTCTACAGGAGAAGAGCCTTGGAAATCTGTTGCCATCAAAATTTCAGCCCAAAAAACCTTATAGGGCAGTTCAATTCTGTCCTATAGGGTCATCACAAATCAGTAGGCAACAGTAACAATGAAAGAAGCGTAGCACTTTCACAAGCAGGGAGCCCGAGGTTCAGGGAGGTGCCAAGTCCCACCGCCTCTCCCCAAGTCTAGCTCCTCAAATCTAAAGTAAGTCACGGTAACGACTGATGGAAATTTTAACAGGTAAAGGGCACATAATAGGTGCTCAATGGATGCCATCGTACCCCTTCTTTTCTTTCACCGCCCAAAGAGTACGGTAATTTAAGCAGTGCTGGGTTTGGCCCTGCTGCCTGGAGAACTGGAGCGGAGCCCAAGGGCACCAGGGGCACCAGGCTGCTCTTGCAGCTGCTGCTAGTTATCAGTGGTCAGCTTAAATGCCGTTCTCTCAAAGGTCACCACAAATGCCTCCCATCACTTGCCAGGAAACCCCAAAGTGGAAATCAAGGTCCACAATCCCTCTCATTGGGACTACTGCACTAGTCTCCCCATCAAGGTCTCCTGGTGCCTCTGCCTCTTACATGTGGTCACCAGTTTGTTTCCTTTAGAAGAGCTCTGGCCATGATCATGCCATCACCTTCCTAGCACCTCTTCAATGACTCCCATTCTTCATGCAAGATAAAGTCTCTGGGTGGGGCCTCCTGAGTTCCCTATGAGGCGAACCAGCTTCTTGTTCTGCCAATTCCTTTACATTTCCTCCCAGAAAGCAATATACAGAGCTCTGTCTTGGTTCATGTTCTTAGACTAGAATACTCCTCCCTTCTCCACTCCCCATTTTTAAAGTCAAGCTCCAATGCTTCCTCACAAGGTGAACTATGAAACACTGATTCTTTAGGATCGTGAAGAATGCAAACCATATATTAGTAATAATGGTCAACCCAAATCCACTGCTAATGAGTCAACTCACAGAAACCCTGCAAGGACACAGGAGAACCTGGAAACCCATCTGGCTTCCAAGGCTGTCAATCTTTAGGGAAGTACCTGACTCATCTTTCTCCTGTGAAGTGGCTGGTGGGTTTAAACCACCAACCCTTCTCTTAGCAGCTGATCGCTTAAGTGCTGCATGATCATGGCTTCTTCGGGTAACTGATATTGATAAACACAACGAATTGTTTACCAATAATATGAAAAGTACTTCACATTAGTTTTGCACTGAATTTTTGCAACAATTCTAAAAAGGTAGCTTTAAAAAAAATCACAAGTGAAATATGGTTTATTAAGGTAATGCAAAGGAGTCATGGCTGATGAAAGATAGGTCATGTTACAGAGAAAAACAAAGAAAGGGGAAGAAACAGCCCTGAAAGTTCAGGCGTGGACCCAAACCCTTTGGCATGTTGCTAGGAGTAGGAGAGAGTAAAAGATAACTTTTAAAGTACCATTTTAGCAACAGTAATCCAACTGAAAGTCCCTGGATGGTGCAAATAGTTGGCAGTTACTAACCCAAGGTTTGAACTTGGCTCAATGAGTTCCAGTGACACCAGAGAGGAAAGATCTGATGGCCTGCTTGTGTCAAGATTCAAACCAATCACATCCTATGCAGCAGTTCTCCATAACCAGGAGGCTGCTGTGCCTCAGAACTGTCTTGACAGCAACAGGTTTTCTTGTTTGTTTCCTGTCATCTTGGCTTTCCTCAGATGTGCCAATAGCTGACGTGCTCAGCAGCTAATAAAACACTGCAGGTTTAAGTCCTTTTAGAGATTCCTAAAAAAAAAGAGGGAGGGCCTGGCTGTCTACTTCCAAACAACCTACCATTAAAACTGCAATCAAACGTACAAGCATGAAAAGCAGCCTCTGCCCAGGGAGAAAGCTCCGAAGGCAGGAAGAAAGCAGCACGAAGGAGGAATGAAAATGGCAAACACAAGGAGGAAGCAAGCAGAGAGTGGTTACATTGTGCGGACTGGAGTGAATGTCATAAAATAAAAGGTGCATGGACTGTTGAGTGGAAAACCCATGTGCTCTGTAAACTCCTACGCAGATCACAAAGAGTGAAAAACAAACAAAACTCCTATAGGATGCAGCTCTATTCTGATACATGGAGGGTCACCATGAATCACAGTTGACTTCTCAACAACTTAATTATCCCCATCAATATAATACCAAGAGATCAAGAGACAATTCAGCTCCTTAGAGCTTCTAAGTCCACCCTACTCCCGCCTAAACAACACCTTCTCCAGGCCAAATGACCAAAGACCAATTCAACTTTGCAAACTGGTTTCATCCAAATGTCAACTTCATTCACTGTTTCAAGATAAAACTCCATCATATTTTTTAAAAGGAATTAAATATCACGTTGCCCAAAACCCCAAACTGCCACTTAAAGAAAAGAAAAAAAAAGAGCAGCAGCACACAATTTTTCAATTACTTTGGTCCAGACCAGCAACAATAAAAATGCTTATTTTCTAAAAAGTGTATTTATGTATCACTGTGCGCACACACATGAATTTATTTGGTTTTATGCTTTGAATTTATTTGAGTTCTACAGCTATTTATTTTGTGACCCCCTAACTGCTTCCTGCTAAAACAACAATTTACTTTATCAAATTCATACTGGTCCTTTGAAATGAAAGAACAGCAACACACCACAGCATTGTGCCTGACCTTCTCAAAGTAAACACGGAGGGGCCCTAGAAGGCAATAACCATTAGCTCTTGAAACTCTGTCTCTGCAGTGAAGGGGCCAGACAGCGTGGAGGGAGAGGATGGACTGCTGTCCCGGCTTAGATGCAGCAGCTGGTCCTTTTGGTTTGATGGAGCCGGGAGAGAAAAGCCATGGGCTCAAACCATCTTCACCTCACAACCTAAACATTTTGAAATGTGGCCAAGTTGGCTATGAAAAGTAGCTGAGAAGCCAGCAGTATGATATTAATAGCCCACTTTTAGAGTTCCGCACATCGTGATGAAAATATTCAGCTTTCTGAGACCTAGCTCGCCGCAGCCTCTGTGGTGCCTAGGAGCCAAAGTGTTGCTAATAAACCCAGGAAGGGAACAGACCCTAGGTTCCTTACATGTGCGCTACACTCTTAGGCCTCCGGCTTCTACTTTTAATAGGGTTCACATGATAAGCCTGTAAAACACATGTTTCGAAGGACAATAAAACACACAGAAAAGAGCTTTGGAGCTAGCCCAATTAACCAGTTGTTGTCAAGCTGATTCTGACTCCTGCTGATCTCATGTGTGAGACTAGAACTGTGCTTCATAAAATTTTCAGTGGTTAATTTTATTTTACTTTTTGTTCATAGGTTGCCAGGCCTTTCTTCCAGTGACCTCTGACTGAACTTGAATCTCCAGGTTTTCAGAACAACAGCTAACAGCAGCCAACAGAACTAAGTTAATGAAGTTTTTCCACATCTCCAAGGCTCCCTTTTCTCATCAGTTCAATGGGAAGAATGAAATCTAGCTTTGGATAGTTGCAATGATGTAACAAATTAAAGCATTAATTCATTCACTTAGCAAATATTTGAGTCTTCATTATGAATACTAAATACAAACACAGTGAAGATGGCACAGAACTTGTCCTCACAGAGCACACTAATAGAGCATAAAGAAATCAAATAAAATCAGCCCAGGAAGTTGAATTAATTGTAAGAAAGTCAAGGCAAACAGCGCTGGGTGGGTGGCACACACCGAGGATATTCACTAAACGCTGTACGAGGGAGAAGTCCAACAGAGATAGCTGGAAAAGAAAATTTGTCTGGTCAGTTCTTTTGGCCTTCTTCAACCTGGTAACAATCCAAACCCCTTTTCTTCCTTCCTCGCCTAGGGCTTGGAGAGGATTTCCGGTTCCGATTATGTGGATAATGACCACAAACAGACAAGAAGTTGGATCGGAGTGTCTTCTGTTTATTTTCTTGAAAGGCATGGAGGCAGCATTTAGAAAATCCAAAGGCTTTTTTTGTCTCCCCTACAAGCTTGTGGTCTTAGTGGGGGTGATGCCAATCATATCTTGACTTTGTTCCAAGAAGGGAGTAAGTTCAGATTCCCTTCAGTTCACAGGAAGAACACAAACATTCCCCTAACGGCTGGGCAATGAGTGCCACCTCTCTGAGGCACACAAGAGGGTTCTCTCTTCCAAATCAAGGCCTCCAGTTCCCAAAACGGCACCATCTTTGCTACCAATCACTGGAGTCCCTAACATTTTATTTCAAGAGAACTCTCAGCGCTAGCCACTGGCTTCAAGAGGTGGAGAAGTCAATAGTACATGCTCTGAAGAAGCTCAATAAAGACAAAAACAAGTGCACTAAAGTAATACTAGTGTGTGTAATGACTAACAAATCTATAAAGCACGATGTAGGCACAAAAGATCACTCTATTGGGGATGTACAGTTCAAATCCACCAGCTGCTGGTAGAAGAGGATAGGCAACCTCTTCTCGTGTGATTTACTGACTGAAAATTGCTGGAACTGACAGCATACAACAATAACAACAAAGGGATTAGACAGGAGTCCTGAGCTGATCTTAAATAAAGAAGTTCTCTGGGATCCAGGGGTTTAATATATTTATGAAAAACCAGTGCAGTTTAACAGTTTCAATACTGGTACTGACAAAAGTAAATTGTGGTCATTGTGGAAACTTCACCACAAGGTCACTGTGGAAATTCAATCATCCATTTTGGAAGTGATATAAATGTAGGAAATGAAAGGAAGGAAAAATCAGCACAGAGAAATTA